TGGACAATCCCTACTCCTGAAACTGCGATTGATCCCAGAAGGCTGATGGATTTGTAAGCATTCTCGACAGCGCATAAATTATGCCAATCTAAGCTCTACTTATTCCGAAAATTGTTTATAATTCCACTGAGCATATTGTGTCCAACTTTTATTATTTCTAAAGTTAAAAAGTTGTTAACTTTATTCCTTTAGCAATTTGTTAACGTATTGCTATTAACTAGATCGGATATATATGGAAGCTAAAAATCACCGTCGTAAATAATTGTTATATAATTGTTTTATTATGGTTGTTTACTATAGAATATTTCATACCTCTGGTCAACTGATTATCAACTTCCTGCTTTTCAGGCACCAATCATGTTCCTCTTTTCGCTTCCTTTTTTTTCTATAATTATGCTACTTGTGGCGATCACACATTTTGGCCTCTATCATACTTAGTTTGGATGGGCTAAATAAAAAATACTTGGCTTAGTTACTTATTTTTTGGGTTATCTTTTACTTGTTTCTCATCCCTTGCAGGCCTAGCCTGCAATTATTTTGTATGCTTCTTTTTTATATTTCGTTTTTTATAGATCTTTCAATTATTCTTGATACCACATTTCCCTGTGTTTTATGTTTCATTTCTTACTGTATATCCGGCTTAACCATCCATTACCTTTAAATGCAAGATTAACTAAGTTTATTATTTTCATGAAAGCATTCGTTGATTTAAAATATTCAACAGATCATATTTGTCACTCAAACCATTTAGTAAATACATCTAAGCAAACTAGTATTTTCACATAGGATAACTTGTTGGATTTTGATATCTAGGTTATTAATTTATCGCACCACCTCACCATCATAGCGATATAGCATTTTTTAGAAAGTGTTAACTGTTAAAATTATTCAAATAGTAGCTAATGTATTCACCATGCCCCTATTATTTATTAATGTCTAAATTTCTGCCACATTCCCGAAACTAGATTACACGAAGATCAACGTGGCCCTCCTATCCAACTCGACAGTGTCGTTGTCCTTTCCGAAAGACCTGGACACCCAGGCCAACTTCTGATTGGATATGCCCAAGGCCTAAGCCTTCTATATGACTTACGTGGTGAACGTCTGTTAGCTGTTCTACCTTGGAACAATGGGCTTGAAGCCGCGGCCTGGTGTGGCGGCTCTGGCTTCCCATGCTACCCAGGCACGCCAGGTGCCGGGGCAAGCCAATTAGGTGGCCGACTGCTCACTGCCCATTCGGACGGCTCTCTGGGAGTTTGGCGACTCAGGGGCATAGCAGCTAGTTCCGGGACCAGTGGTAGCGCAATCGCAAGCAATATCCTTGGCGTGGATAAGCTCACTATTGCTAACCTTCCTCCACCTAGGCTACAAATGGAAGAAGCCCCGAGCATGCCCTATGGTAGTTAACATTTTCCTTATTTTTTTCTATTATTCCTCTAATAG